GCTCTGGCCAGTCTGAGGGCCTCCCAGAGCAGGGTTTGCACCATCGCTGGCTTGGGTCTGTCTAGCAGGCCCACCAAGGGTCGCGGGACACATGACAGGATGTAGACACCGTTCTGGATAAAGCCCCGCAGAGATCTAAGCTGATGTGCCTTTCTGGAGGCCCAGCTGGCCCTCTCTCGGCCTCTGGCGGGCAGAGGTCAGGGTCCAAGGTTAGGAGCAGAACGCCAGCTGGCGGGGGTGTGGGCTGCACACAGGGCCGGGCCTGACAGGAGGACCCTCTTGGCCTCCCTCCCGGGGCTTCTCGCATCTGCGCCACCTGCTGAGCCTGGCCACCCTCTCCTCCAGCCCGTCCACGACCCTGGGCCCAAAGCCCCAGGTGACCCAGGGTCCTGCAATCACCAATTCCCTCCTCCTGGCCACAGAAGGTCTCGGAGCAGTGGTCCCAGGTTCTCCCACACGACCACAGAACAAAACACCTGCGCACAGCACAGGCCCATCTGTAGCTGACCCTACAGCCTCAGGAGGCAACGCTGGCCCTTGCTGGACACCGTGCACCCCCATGGCCCTTACCTGTTCCTTCCTAGCCGATACAAGCTTTTTAAAAAAAATAGATGTTTAGATTGTGTTAGGTCGGAGAGAGTCCAGGATCGGATACGTGCAGACATGTGATGAGACAATGGACTCCCCCTGGAATTTCTCACAGATCTACGTGCCAGACACAGATGCCGGCTTCTTCTCCCTGAATCCACATACCCCCACACAGATGCTGACTCATTCCTGAATACCTTGCTGACCCCCCTGCAGCTGAAACTTCCTCAACTGAATACCTCAGCTCATGTCCCCGCCCCTCACCCAACCGCAGTATAAAAAAAAGCCCCCCCCTCCCTGTTGGCGTGAATCCACGTGCCCTGTCTTTGGGGTACGTGGGTCTCCCGGGGACGCAGAATGAACTTTCCTTTCCTTTCTTTTCTGATTCACTGGACTCTATTTCTTGCGCCGCCTCCTGAGCCACCTAACCTAACAGAATGATTTTGGAGAGAGAGGAAGGGAGAAGGATAGAGAGAGAAACATCGAGAGATATCGATACATCAGCTGCCTCCTGCACACCCCCTACTGGGGATCGAGCCTGCAACCCGGGCATATGCCCTGACTCGGAATCCAACCGGTGACCTCGGTTCCTGGGTCGATGCTCAATGGCTGAGCCGCACTGGCCGGGCCTATACGAGTTGTTTAAAGTGCTGGTGGCCGCCTGTGGGCTGGCCGGGTGATTTAGGGGTGCAATTCCCTTCGGGGTTAAAGCGAACCTTCAGCGGCACCGGGGTCTTCTCCAGGCTGATTGGTTGTCCAAACTTCCCTCTGGGCACCAGGAGCCCCGCCCCCCAGGTCTGGGGGCGGCGGGCATGCGATCCCTTTCGCCAAACTTTTCTTCTCAGAAACAAAACGAGAACTATTAGCCCCTGAGTTCCCCGTGGTATTCACCGCACCCGGGTCTTTGCGATGCAGTGATCCTCGCGGAGGAAAAGCGCTGGCGGGGACCTGCCAGACCCGGAAGTTGGAAAAACCCTGTCCCCGGGCCTGGCGGGAACCGGGCTGCCCCCGGGCCGCGCCCCCGCCTTTGGGCCAATC